CCTCTTTTGCACTGAATTAACTCTTCTCTGCAGTGAATTAACTGAAAACTGCATTTATCTTAACCAATCAGAACTGAGTAATTTTTTCATGTATATTATTAGCATAGGTAATCACATGATTTCGAGTGCAATTTGGAAGAAATAAGCACGAGTAAATTTTTTCATACTAACAAAATTGCATGAGCCCGTGGGGCGAGTGCAATTTGTGGTTTTGAAAAAATTTACAAGTGCTTATTTATTCCAAATTGCACGAGAAAATCATGTGATTATGTATTAATAATATACAGGAAAAAATACGAGGTAGCCTCTCATAACTACGCAGAAGAAAAGGGCGCGCATCAGGTGCAAAAATAATTTACTCAAACCCTGCAAGTGACAATGACCTTGACATTGACCTTGACATTGACATTGACCAATCAGAATGTCTGGTTTTTTTCTTTCTTTGCACTGAATTAACCCTCTTCTGCACTGAATTAACTCTCTTCTGCACTGAATTAACGGAAAATTGCATTCATCTTAACCAATCAGAACTGAGAAATTTTTTCATGTATATTTTTAGCATAGGTAATCACATGATTTCGAGTGCAATTTGGAATAAATAAGCACGAGTAAATTTTCTCAAAGACTAACAAAATTGCATGAGCCCGTGGGGCGAGTGCAATTTGTGGTCTTTGAAAAGTTATTAGGTATATAATAATATACATGAAAAAATGTGTCAGTTCTGATTGGTTAAGATGAATGCAGTTTTCAGTTAATTCAGTGCAGAAGAGAGTTAATTCAGTGCAAAAGAGGGTTAATTCAGTGCAAAGAAAGAAACAAACCAGACATTTTGATGGGTCAGAATGATTGGTCAATGTCAATGTCAAGGTCAACGTCACGGTCAATGTCACTTGCAGGGTTTAAATAAATTGTTTTTGCACGTGAAGCGCGCGCTTTTCTTCTGCGTAGTTATGAGAAGCTACCTCGTATTTTTTCATGTAATTTTGTAACAGATAATCACTTGATTTTCTCGTGCAATTGGGAATAAATAAGCAATTGTAAATTTTTTCAAAGCCTACAAATTGCACTTGCCCTTCGGGCTCATGCAATTTTGTTGGTCTTTGAAAAAATTTACTCGTGCTCATTTATTCCAAATTGCACTCGAAATCATGTGATTACCTATGCAAATTGCACTTTACTTAGTTCAATTACTATTATAAATCACGCTTTACGTGTGAAACCTTTAATTTGTCAGCCTCTTTTTGAAAGTCAGTTTGACAACTTTCGTAGGATACTGGAATGAGGCACCGAAATATCTACGATAATTTAAGGCTTTGCGTGGCTGCGAGAGTTTTCAAAATTCACTGTACCAAAACATGGCAAACAAGAAAACCTGCCTGCGCCAAGTTGTCCCTTCGAACTGCGGTAACAAATATTAACATGGGTAAAACCACTGTAAAGTAGGAGAGAAAGATTTTTCTAATCTTAATATAATTTTTATTTGGACAAAGTACGGTGAAAAGAATGCCAAAAAGGGAAACATCTTATCTACGGTACTTCAAAATTTTAGTTGTCGAAGGTTTAAATGCACTGTATCCACTCAAACATTCTTCCATTCTAAGTTGAAAATCTGATCCAGTAAAGAAATTTTCGACGTCAGCTGCTCACTCAGCTAAAGCGAGTGACAAGGACGTGTGCAAGATGAAAGAGGAAGAAAAACCTTTTATTAACCGACTAAAATTGTTCCGCCATTGGCCCTTCGCAATGAAATAAGGGACGGCTTGCGATTGCAGCGTCTCTCCAGATGAAAATAGCAGAAATGATTTTCTTCGGGACAGGTCAAACTATTTCTTCAAAACTGAATTACATGAATAACACAGTTGCCATTATTTTAATTAAAAAGTCCGAGAAAACTTTTTTCAGCATTTAAAAGCGTAGCTCAAGAAATTTCTGTTTCAGCTACATTTCAACTAAACGAGTTGCAAAGGGGTGAAATCGGCGAAAACAGGCGCGAGACGCTCGCGATGCGTGGAAGACTTAACTAAAATCGTCTGATCCTAACCCGTGCTATCAATAAATCAATAGAAGTTCAAAATGTTTCCAATCGTTTGTTCAATAAATACGAATTTAATTGAATTCGATTGTTTCCCAACTTTTCCGCTCATTTCAAAACTCTCAGGGGGAAGTCATTTTCAAGCAGTAAATTGCGAACAGATTCAGAAATAACTACTGTAA